GTTTGCTGACATATAGTAGGCTTTTTTCGGACATCTAAAGTTGTATTTTTGTAAATTTATCCTTAATCTTAAATTACCTCTTTTACCAATACAATTTCACCATATAAAGCACAGTTTTTCTTTCATAACTAAAGATACCTTCTTTAGAAAAATCCTTTTTAGGTTTATTCAATAATCTATATGAATTTTAAGGTTGTCTTCTTGATAAAATAATTCACTATCTTTGAATACATCTTTCAGTTTTTATCTACTATTTGTTTTATTTGAGTATTAAGAAATGAAATATCATTATGTATATTTGGAAAATGTGTCATAACGAAAGGCATAATGTTCTCTTTATGTTCATTAATCTCTGTTTAAATGTTTTTTTTTTATTAAAGTTATTCTTGTCAATTTCAAAACCTCTTAATATAACTTTTTCTGGATAGTGTCTATTAATCTATTAACTCATTTTTTTATTGGAAACAAATTGATATAATCTACTTGCAAGATTTGCAGGAACATTTAATTTTCTGTTTGGGATTATTACTAAATTAATGTGAGTTTTTATGGGTTTATTAAAAAATGTCAGTTATAGTTGTGTTTTCTGGTGAAACACTTATCAACACATCTTAAAAGGACAAGGCTTTATTATTTCTCCCAAAGATAAACTTAATATCCTTGTTTATTGAACTTAAAATCCCAACATGCTTATTAACATATTGTATCTTTCTATATTACAAAAAAATAATCTAAAAATCTTTTCCAAAAAGTTGTCACATGAACTACAAAATTATCTTCAACATAGTGGTATTAGCATAAGTTGGAGCAACTTTTATGCTCATTGCTGTATGAGAAATTTGGTGAAAGATTTGTTCCTCGTAAGTAAAAAAACAATTTTTCTAAGCCTATTTAAACCTTTTAAGATAAAACTTTTATTAAATCTGAGATAAATTCTTTGTATTTATCTAGAAATTTTTCGACAGCTTTAAGTTCATAGTCATGTTCCAGAATTACCACGTCTGAAGAAACAAAACTCCGATTTTCTTCTATTATTGGCATTTTTCGATAAATTCAAAGTCATCCTTAATAAGACTAGGAATATGAGATAAAAAGGTTTTAACAATATTTCCAAAAGGTCATTTAAATATTCAGTAATTTTTTGATTACCTCCTACAGTTGGTCTTCCTAAAATTTTGGGAGGTTTTTCCAAATGTGAATATGTTCACTTTTTGTTTCCAACAATAATTCATTAATCTCTTGGTTTATGGATCTTAGGAAGTGTATAAAATTATCCAATTTCTAAATTACTTAAAGTATTTTTTCTTTTTTATTAATATCACCTTAAATTTATCAACAAACTTCTTTCATTTTTCTTTTATGAAAGTTATGCATCTCAATTTGTTTAAACTTCCCATTTTTTTGGTAAACCTTTGTATCATTTAAATGTTCATACACCATCTGATTATACAATTGTTGGGTTATAAGTACTCATATTTTATCTTTATCTGTTTTTGAAATAGATTAGAATTTTTAAGTTTCTCAAATGATTTTCATTCCTTTAATGTTAAATTGTCCTTCCCTTGTTTATCAGTAACAGAATATAATTAATTTTTGATTAGTTAACT